AATTATCTTTAACTATATATACATATATATCGTCACCTTGGAATTATAAGGTTCTATCTGCATTCTGAATGATTTTGAGATATTGAGCCTGAAGTTTTTGCATTCCATAGCAAACAGTATGTGTGTAACATTAGTTTAAATAAAAAGTCTAAAAATGTAAATAACTTGTAATTAATTAAATGTAATTAAGTTGTCATTTAATAAGAATATGTCAGTAACTCAATTTTGTCAAAAATGTCAGATAGAATTTTATAATTCTAATATGATTATTAGGGATGTATAACGGTATCAGAATTTCACGGTACGGTAATACCTCGGTATGAATGTCACGGTACGGTATTTATTGAATCATTTACAGGAAAAAAACAAAACTTATGAAAATACTCCAAAAAAGTGCCAAAAGTGTCAATGACATACAAATTAGCCATCTATCTGTAAGCTTTGAAACAGGAACTTCAATTTTAATAACAAAAAAAATATTAAACCATGTAAAAAAATTAAGTTTCAATTTAGTATTGTTGAAAACTCATCACATTCAACATTTAATCACTCACTCACTTAGATAGAGATGGGTTTAAAGGAAAATTATCATATAAATATAATCTGGTAAAAGCTGGTATCTCTGGGCATTTACAATGTCCCCTGCAACAAAAAAAAAACCCTCTCATTTGGGACTGAGGTTTCTGGGACAAGAGAGATATGACTTGGCCCAGGTTGACAGCAGTGGGTAACGTTGTGCATTGTCTTTCCCCCACTTGAGAGGACAAACCATGAGTAAGATAGAGGTCTCATGTCTGCATCAATCTGAACAGTGTGCTGACAACACCGCTATTCAGTACGCGCGTGACAACACAGCTGATAAGAACTCACGTGACAACACAGCTGATAAGAACTCGCGTGACAACACAGCTGATAAGAACTCGCGCGACAACACAGCTGATAAGAACGCGCGACAACACCGCTATTCAGTACGCGCGCGACAACACAGCTGATAAGAACTTGCGTGACAACACAGCTGATAAGAACTCGCGCGACAACACCGCTATTCAGTACGCGCGTGGCGACAACACCCACTTTAGAGTTTTCCAGCTCTTTTTAATCCCCGCTTCTAGCAGCACACTCCATTTCCGCATTACTGGATCTGTAGCGCCAACAGACCGCAAGGGATGATGGTCAAGCATGGGCTGATGGGAAATTGTAGTTTTCGCTACCTCCCGTTCGCTTCATTCGCCTGAGCAAATTTTCTCAGAAGACCTATAGTTTTACCGAGTCATGCGACTTCGGTAATATCAAAAAAATTAATATTGCGGTATGACGGTATTTACAATACCGTTACATCCCTAATGATTATACATATATTTTTTCAAACTATATATATACAGTTCAGTCTGAATTATTAGCCCCTGTTTATTTTTTCCTCGATATCTGTTTAATGTAGAGAAGATTTTTTCAACACATTTCTAAAAATAATAGATTTAATAACTAATCTCTAAAAACTGATTTATTTTATCTTTGATAAAATAATATTTGACTAGATATTTTTTAAGACACTTCTATACAGCTTAAAGTGACATTTAAAGGCTTAATTAGGTTAACTAGGCAGGTTAGGGTAATTAGGCAAGTTATTGTATAACAATGGTTTGTTCTGTAGACTATTGAAAAAAAAATAGCTTAAAGGGGCTAATAATATTGACCTTAAAATTGTGTTTAGCAAAATAAGAAAACTGTTTTTTTTTTCTAGCCAAAATAAAACAAATAAGAAAAAATATTATCAAACACACTGAAAGTTACCTTGCTCTGTTAAACATCATTTGAGAACTATATATATATATATATATATATATATATATATATATATATATATATATATATATATATAGTTTGCAGTTTTGCAATTTAGTTTTGTAAATGTTTTTTCTCTATTTTCTATAAAACAGAAAATCTTTAACCCGACAAGAGTTTTCAAAAAGTTTCAGTGACCTGATACTTTGTGTGTGGACGAACAGCAGCAGAAAAACTGGAGAAAAAGCCCAATAGCCATGTCTGTGTGAAAAGCAGGGCTGAAGGTTGTGACTGAATTTGGTTGTAGTTTTGTGTTTTTCTTCAGTAATTCTGCTTTTTAACAGCAGGAGTTCATTATTCTCTGTGTTATTTTAAATCTTTGTGGGAGTGGGACCAGTAGGAGAAGTTAATTTTATTCTGACGGTTTTGCTGTGTATCAAATTGTGTTTAAAAAAAAGTCTACTTTAAAGTAAAGATATCAGTTTAAAGGGTTATTTTGAAATGGGGTATTATGAACACAAAAACAAACAAACCAAAAAAAAAAATAAACATGGCCAATAACTAGGCTCACACGGATTCTGCGCGCACAGAATTTTACAGATTTTTAGCCCATCATTGATTCTGTTTATTTACTTGTGTAAATGTGTGTAAATTCATATTCATTCAAATTTTTTATTAATTTCAGTGATATTTTGACTAATAGGAAAATATTTATATGATTTATTTACAATATAGTTTGTAAAGTAATATGTTCTGTCTTTTAGTAGATATATTATATGCGACTTGCTTTGTTTCCCAAATAAAGTGGAACTAATTGGATTTGTATTGTAAACATTAAATAAAAGTTTAAAAGGTATTACTTTTTATTTCATATATTACGGTTTTAGTTATGATACTCCCAAAATCATTTAGCATAAATCCACAGATTTTTTACCAAAATTCTGCGCAGAAATAGCAAAAAATGTCAGCAGATTCTGTCGGCCCTACCTATAACCTTAATTAATTAACTTTTTAACACATTATTCCCTAATTTGCCATTGTTTATGCACACAAGGTATTTGCCCACCGCTTGAACATTTGGCAAACTATACACAAAACTATAGATCTTTTGAAAGATTTGTTCTGTTTGGATGAATCTAGAGAGCTTCATGATTATGTTAATATATATCTTTAAACACAAAAATGTTTTTATTAACATGAAAATAGCCTTTATTTGGGAGGATTTGCCTCCATTTTTCATCCTGAAATTAGAGGTAGGAAGTTAAAAGCGCTATGTGACAGGAAGTAAATCAATTCCTTTTTTTGTTACTTGAAATTTTTTATTTGGTTGTTTGCTTGCATGTCATTGAGAAGTTTAGCATGGATAACATGTAGAAAATAACTTATAAAAGGAAAACTTTGGCAATTATACAGGGTGGGCCATTTATATAGATACACCTTAATAAAATGGGAATGGTTGGTGATACTAACGTCCTGTTTGTGGCACATAAGTATATGTGAGGGGGCAAACTTTTCAAGATGGGTGGTGACCATGGTGGCCATTTTGAAGGCGGCCATCTTGGATCCAACTTTTGTTTTTCCAATAGGAAGAGGGTCATTTAAACTTATTGGGAATTTCACAAGAAAAACAATGGTGTGCTTGATTTTAACGTAGCTTTATTCTTTCATGAGTTATTTACAAGTTTCTGACCACTTATATAATGTGTTCATTGTGCTGCCTATTGTGTTGGATTGTCAATGCAACCCTCTTCTCCCACTCTTCACACACTGATAGCAACAACGCAGGACAAATGCCAGCACAGGCTTCCAGTATCCGTAGTTTCAGGTGCTGCACATCTTGTATCTTCACACCATAGACAATTGCCTTCAGATGACCCCAAAGATAAAAGTCTAAGGGGGTCAGATCGGGAGACCCTGGGAGCCATTCAATTGGCCCACGACGACCAATCCACTTTTCAGGAAACTGTTCATCTTGGAATGCTCGGACCTGACTCCAATAATGTGATGGTGCACCATCTTGCTGGAAAAACTCAGGGAACCTGCAAGCTTCAGTGCATAAAGAGGGAAACACATCATCATGTAGCAATTTCAAATATCCAGTGGCCTTGAAGTTTCCATTGATGAAGAATGGCCCCACTATCCCTGTGCAGGCATTTCTCCTGCAGTGTTGCTATAGTGTGTGAAGAGTGGGAGAAGAGAGTAGCATTGACAATCCAACACAATGGGCAGCACATTGAACACATTTTATAAGTGGTCAGAAATAACTCATGAAAAAATAAAGTTATGTTAAAATCAAGCACACCATTGTTTTTCTTGTGAAATTCCCAATAAGTCTGATGTGTCAAATGACCCTCTTCCTATTGAAAAAACTAAAGCTGGATCCAAGATGGCCGACTTCAAAATGACCACCATGGTCACCACCCATAGATATATACATTAGATGTCGCCTACCCTGTTGTTGTCAATTGGAAGGAATGCGTCAATAGAGCTGCCATTTTAGTACAGGGTAGCGCTTCTTTGAAATTAATGCAGTACCAAGCTGTAGTGGAGGACTGTGGCCATCCAGAGCCAGGGAATTACACATATATATAATATCTATGATTGGGAGTATTCCCGGAGGTCAGTATGAATTTTTTTTTTCGCACTGGCATTCCTGATTAAAAGCTTGTGTTTGTGTGTGTGGAAATGTACTATCTGCCCTCCTTGTTAAATTTAATAAACTAACATAAGCCTGGTGTTTAGTTTGAGTTTGTGCTACTTTGTCTTATGGTGAATGCAGTAAGTGACTTTGCTTTCTTTGTTTGCTGGTTACTACGCCCTTACACAGCACTAAAGTCCAGCATTTTCACGTAGTAACACAGTCTTGAGTAGTGCGGTTGAAAGACACTTGTCCTGGGAGCACTGTACAAATATGGCGGCGCTATTGACACATGCTCAGGGTCCCTATACGGCATCTAGTGTATGTATCTATGGTCACCACCATTTTGAAAAGTTTGCCCCCTCACATATAGCAATGTGCCACAAACAAGACGTTAATATCACCAACCATTCCCATTTCATTAAGGTGTATCCATGTAAATGGCCCACCCTGTAGTTGCCGGTGGACTTAAATGGGTTAAACTTCAACACAACCCTAAAGCAAGACTTTATAATAAATCATTATCAATGGAATTAAGAATGTGCACAGTGATGGAAGAAACGTGACAACATTCAAAAGGCAGCATTCAAAATCTCCTTTTTAATTCGTATATGTACTCCATAAACATTATTACAAAACTCAGCAAGTTACCAATATTACATTTCACCATACAGGCTTGATCACAAATATTTAAAACCTTTGCAACAGATACAACATAAAATAATACAAGAATAATTTACATGAAAATCTATAAAACAGCAAACAGTTCACAATTTTGTCTGTACTGTTTTTTTTTTTGCCTATATGTTTTCCACAGTAACACAACACTCTCACAACAAGATCATTTTCCTCTTACAAAACTTGCAACAAAATGTAGTTTCTTTCTTTTATTAATTTTTTGTTTTCGTAATTTTTTAGGTTTTTAAAACCAAAAGCTTGTCATTATACATCCTTTTCACTGCCTGCAGAGGCACAAAAAAGGTTTCTCTCTCTCTTCCACACACACATACACGCACACACTAATACTTCACAGCACTTTCTAAGAAAAATATACACTTACAAAATATCTTACAAATTGGCACAGAGAAAAATATACAATATTTTTGTGACGTCGAGAGCTAAGAATCCCTCTGGTTATCAACTCTAGACGATATTTATAAAGCTCAGTAATTTCTCCAACGAAAAGGCAAAAGCAATTCCAATTAATGACAACGAATCGTGTTGTGAACACATCAAACAGAACCATATATTGTACATTCATAAAGAGAAGAGAAGGGTTTTCAATTCTAATATTCACTGATTCTTCAATTCTGGGAGAATACAATTACCCTCTTAGCACCAGTAGGAGGAGGCAGCTTAACAGTGGCACGCTGTAAAAAACTTGAAGTACATTCAGTCGAAAACAGGCAGAAATAAGAAAAGGCAGGCGAGATGGCCCGTGTGCAGTTTCCTCATCAGCATCATCTCGGTGCTAATTATGGCCGGTTATAGGCAGAAGGGGACGGAATGAACTCTTCCTAAGGTAAAAGCTATCGGTAAGGCATTACTTTACCTGAGATGTCCTCCTAGAGCAACTCTTGGTGTCTTCTAATAATCTACATGCGCTAAATTAATCAGAATGCGCTTGACCTCCATGCTATAATTAAGATGACGTTTAGTAAAGATGACCTATTACTACTATAGTAATAATGCGACACCAATTCATTTAATTAAATAAAACATAACCTATTGGGAAAAGATTGTTTATGGCAAATAGGTAAATAATAAAAAGGCCATCATTTATAGATGCTGAAACATCAAAAGCACCCCATTCAGAAAAAAAATATTACGTTCTCAGTGTCTGTTACAGTTATTTTGTGAGCCTGACAGATGCCATCCTCTATTATTCGTGTCCATTTTTCTTCATCTTCATTTCTCTTTTCAATTCAAAGCCCATGTAATGCTGAGGTACATTGAATGTGATATGAAAAGTAAAAATTGGTCAGAGTTTAGTTGTTTTGGTCGAGTGGTTGTACCACTGTCAGCTGCAGGTGCTCTTCAAGCGATAGGGTCCCCAAAGAAAGCAAAACAACAAACCAAAAAGAAAGGTCAGATCTTAAAAAAGAGAACAGCCAGCATTTATCAGGATAGTCATAGAGATTATAAATGTGCACAGGTTTTACATTTGGCACACAGGTAGAATTCATGTTTTCCTTCAAACAGTGCATTTTTGTACAATGATACTGAATAATAATAAATCTGTTAGCAGGGGCCTGTTTCAGTAAGGAGGTTCAACCAACTCAGAGTTTAAACTTGAACTCTGAGTTGACTTCTGAAGAGATTAAAAAGAGTTTTCGGTTTCAGAACAGTTTATCTAAGTTAGATCAATCAAGTCTGAGTTATTCATAGGCATTATCAAGCTACCATATTACCATCTAAAAAAAAATTGCATTTTTTCTCCAGCTGAACTTGATGTGCTCATGCAAAGTTATAGCAAATTTAATTTATAGCATATATTTAAAAAAGCAACACCACTGCATCGACAAAACAGAGAGTTTTAAGTATTTAAAGTACATAAATATTGAAGTATAATAAAAAATAAGTAATTAAATAGACGTTTATAGACTTTTCACTTGAAAAGTGGGAAATTGGCCGAAATTTAGAAGTTGTTTCAGATGTAATTGCATTAATTTCAATAACTAGGCTACTGCATGCACGTACACACATAGGACTCAACCTGTGCAGTGCACATGCCCTTTTTAGTCTTGGATAGAAAGTGCCCTTCCAAAACGATCTGAAGTGTCCCCGTTTGTTCTAGTTTCTAGAACAAATTTGACCAATCAAGAATGCATAAAACCTTAGCTTAATGTTTAGTGGAAATGTTTAAGGATCCAATTTTCACACAAGTTGATCAGTTTAAGATAAAACTTCTGAAACTGAGTTCTTAAAAATTTTAAAAGAGCACTTGTGTGTCTAATTTTTTATTGATCAAGTGGTAGAGGTTGATATGATATTTAGAATGTAAGCAGTACTAAAAATATAGTTTTTTAGAATGTGTAATAATCCCATTAATCTAGTACATGTCCCTGTCGAAGGACAGTGAATTTTAGCTAATTATTTAATTTTTGAAGTAATACCAAAGATGAAACTTGAAACTAGAGTATTGAATCTAATTTTAATTTTCCCAAAAAAGGACAAGCCATTCTCGTAACTTTGTTCTTTGTGTGACTGAAATATAGGCAATGAATGACTAAGGCTAAGGCGAAAAACATGCTTCGTCTTTAAAAAAAGGATGGAGACCATCAGAGTTTACAGAATAAACCCTGCTCCTGATCAGGTTAGGTAAACGGAGTAAGTTACCACCGTAACTGACTTTGAGTAAAAGTTACCTCTCTTTCTGAAACTGGCTTGAATTACCCTGCTTTCTCGAGTTTGACAAACCTGCCTTTTTGAAACGGAAAACCCAGTTTTTCTCTCATTTCAGGGTTAACATACTCTGAGTTTTCACTTAACCTCCTTTCTGAAACGGGCCCCATGAGTATTGTTTCAGACAACCACTATTAATCATTATTAATATATAAATTAAAATAAAACAGAAGCATTTTGCGATTTCCATGGCACAGTCTCTTTTTAAGACAATCTAGAGTACAAATCCTGTAAAAAGCAGTAGTTAAGGGGAAATCATAAGTACATTCCAACAGTAAGAAAGTAACTGGAACAACGTTAATCTGATATGTCTTCATTACAAAATGGTCCCACTGTGTGCTGTCGATATTTAAGAATGTACCAGGCATCCTAGACAAGGTCATCTTGAGCATTTCACACTTAAAAACAAAAGTCAGGCAGTGAAGGGGTAAAAAGAAAGGAGAGGGCATCTGTTTCAGCATACATAATCAAAAGGGGGAGCTTGTTTCACACAAAGACATTTTTTAATAGCTACATGTTTGAAGAGAGAAATATAATTACATAAGGGCAGAAAGATCCACTGAAAACTGAAAAAAAAAGACCAAAAAGAATTTGCACTTATCAAAGTTTCTTTTCTTCTTCAGACAAAAACTAATTAGCAACTGTGAGGGAAAAAGAAAACAGCAAAACAGAAACGCAGAATAAAAATGCAGCCATGGTAATTTCAAATCTCAATCAAGCCTTGCACAATCAATCAATAGGTAGTTTGCGAGTACAATAAGTTTCTCATGCAAGATATCAATATCCTCTTCGGGGGGCAAAAAAGAAGGTGGGGATTCTAAAGCATAACATAATTCCATGCATCTCTGGTCTTGAGTCAGTGTAGGTATGGTACGAAATGAAGAGGAATCGGGGAAAGTGAGGAACGTGCATCAGCAGCTAGATATAAAATATTACCTCAGTTTCTCAAAAGAAGCCATTAACGATATGTCCTTGTTTGGCTCTCGCTCAGGTCGCGTGCCCTTTAGATTTTCAATCCGAGGGAATTTCGCACTGGTTTTGTGACGGTACATCTTTTTATGTGCAGGCCCATTTATACCTGGAACGCCAAGGTTAGGCTTGTCAAACATGTTACAGCCCAAAGCCAGCTGAGGGAAAAAAGGTAAGGAGGCATTGAACTTTGGCTGATTTTTGACACTTTTCGTCCCACCTTTTCTGCCTTTTGTGCCCCCTGTACTCAAAGTGCCTTTCTTCTTCGGGTCAGATGAAGTTCCTGCAAGGATTTTCAGAGTCTTTAACTTGAGACTGTTAGCTTCTGAGGGCAGGCTTACGTTTGCTGCAGGGCCCCAAATTGGCTCAACAGAGGCCATCATGAATCTCTGTACTTCGGCCATCCCTGAGACGATATTTGACAAGATGTTGGATGGCTCTTCAAACTCTCTCTGGTCATCGTGGACTTGACTTGTGCTCTCTGAACAACCTATTCCTGTCCAGTCCTCAGAGCTACTGTCCTTGAGCAGATATGCAATGCCTTCGGTCTGGCTGTTACTGCCTTTCTCGTCCAATAAAGTCTTTAGCTTTTTAGACGTTCGTGAATTCTGACGTGGAATTTTTCCCTTGTCTGTCTTGGGAGCTTTGGGGGCTTTGGTTTTTTTGGTGCCCTGCCCTGCAGGTGGCTTGTTGCTATTTCTCCTCTTTGCCTTAGTCCCCTTAATTGCATTTACCATATCGCCATCAATGCTAGATAGATTTTCCTGCTTTGTCCCCAAGCTTAAGTTGTTTTCCCCATTAAACACGTTCAATTGATACGTGTGACCTTCAACTGAATATCTAGCTAGATCTTGCTGCTTTATCATCTTGCATTTCCAGTCCATGTTTTCAGTGCATGACATCTTAACTCCATCTTGGAGGTCAGTGGCCTTCCCGACTATCTTAATCTCACGGCCCATAACTTGAGGGGATAAATTAGGTGTCTCCGGAGGAGAAAGTTCTGACAATGATGCGTGTCTGAATTTATCTGGTGTGAAGTTGGAGATATCTAGCAAGTCTGTAGACTCTCTCAGGGGTGTGATTGCATCAATACTCTGTTGAATAACAAGTTTGGGACTGTAGTGGGCCAGAAAGTCCTCATTCACATCATCCTCACCATCTTTTTCACAAGACTTAAGACTCAGAGAGCTGTAATTGCTGGAAGCAGCTGACAGCGAACCAACTGAGTCGAAACTGATGAGTCGGCCATTGTCGGTGTGGAGTGTGGCTCTTTGAAACTGTGGCTGCCTCTGACATGCCTGAAACTCAGCATCAGGAGGCAGTGGCTGCTCAGGCATGTAATTCTTTTCATAAAGCATTCTGTTGCTCTCTAGACTCAGCTGGCTGAATCCTGACACAGTCAGACTCTCAGACATAGGCAAAGCCATCTCTCCATCGAAGCTGTTAGGTTGAATCGCAGATTCAGCAACATCTGCAGTGGTAAACTGCTGGTTGGAATGAAGCTGGGCTTGCCACATCTGGGTAAGAGTCGGGCAATTCTGAGGAGACTGCTGGAGCTCTGATTCTGACGGTGGTGAAAGAACACAGCTTTGTGCTAGCTGAATTGAGGTGAATTGCTGCTTTTCCAAAGAGAGTACCAATGAGTGCTGGGTCTGCTGGGGGAAAAACGGGATACCGGTGCTACCTGAAGAATCAGAGGCATCCAGCAGTGTTTGAAGGTAGCCTCCAGGAATAACCGAAACACTTGCAGCCACATTCTCCGATGATGACTCTTTGTTACAGGAGCAGGTGTTAGACACAAAAGCAAATTTTTCAGTGGCATTAGCTGTTTGACTTTCACACAAATGGGGAATGTGTGCAGCTGGGCTGACATTTTTATCTTCTGCACCTCCTACTGTGTCCATATTTTTCTGCAGCGAGCAAACTTCTGTCAGGTCTGTCATGCTTTCGTTATTCTCCACAAGGTCTCTTATTTTCTTGCTTCTAAGTCTGGCTTCACTTCTGAATTTATGTATTCTGAATATTTTATTCCCTATTCTCCTTTCCTCCCTCTCTTGTGATCTGCTCTTCCGGGCGGCAGTGTGTATGATGTCATTTGAGTCTAATGTGCTTGCACAGCTGGTGGCTATTGTTAATGGCATTCCCATGGAGGCAGTTTCATCTGTAGAAGAAACCTCCTGCCTGGGATCAGAGGCAAAGGGGCCCTGCATGTTGGGTGATTGCTCCACAGTTTGAATTCTCTGAATTCTGAGCCTGTTTGCTAGCTTATATTTCCTTTTGGGGGGACTGGATCTAAAGGCATGATGGTGAGAATTGTGTTTATCTCCTGCTGCCAGCTTAAGCTGTTCCTCTCTTTCTCTCTGCTTCTCCTGCCAGAAATCTTTCAGAGGTGAAAGCTTCTCATATTTGTTGATTGTATCCTCATTTAAGCTCACCGTCGTGTCGGATGAATCAATTCTGCCAAGCTTTACAGCCATGCATTTATCTCCTTTGAACCTATTAACGATAATGTATTTGATTATTACAGGTGGATCCTTGCGAGAATATTTGCGTCTCTTTTTAGGGCACCAGTCAAGATCCTCTTCTTGCTTTGGACCAATCGGTGGTTTCTCTCGCTTTTCAACGTTTCTTTCTCCATCAGTGGACTCAACATAATACAAGTAGTCGTCACTAAACCTAAATTTTCTTTTGGCCCGCAATCCGTAGTTCAGATGGTTAGAGCAGCTTGCGTTCTTTCGAGTGAACAAGTTTTTAGGTCTGTTGTCCTGGAAGGTGTCAAAAGAGCAAATGGTGGAGGAGCTTTCATCACTATACTCGCCTGAATCATCAGCCGAGTTGCTTGAATCAATGAAGTAGTTCATTTTAGGGCTGTAACTAGGCATCTGCTCTGCGGAGCATTCGTTTACATCCCCTTTGTTGTCATTCTGAAATCCAAGCTCCTCTGATTTAGGTGGTGCCTCATCCACAACTCGTTTCACTACACCGCTCTCTTTCTTTGTGCAGTTTACCAAGACACTTGGGAAAAAGTTAAACTGGGTTTCTTCTTGCAGAACATTGGTTTTCTCCCTAATGTTGTCCTGGAAGGACTCGTAGCGGATTTTTAACGAGCACACATCACTGCTCAGAGTGGAATCATCATCATCATCAAACATGTAATTGTCCACATCCTCCTCGGAGAAGAGATTTACAGATAGCTCATTCTTGGAGCAAAGATCCAGCAATTCCATTTTACTCTCGCTAATGAATGACTCAAAGTAGCCCCAGTCCTGATTTGGATTAGTAAGCAAGCCATCTTCACCAGTGCACTTGTCTAATAACAGGCTCTCATACAGGTTTTTAGAGGCTGGATCATCTAAGTCTATTTTCTCGGTGTCCTTCTTTTCCAGCAACTGGGTTTTAGTGACAGGAAAGCTCAAAAGCTGATCAGAGAGGAGCTGGTCTCCATAACTTCCTGTCTCACTTGTGCTCATGCATTGCATGTTAATATCAGAGATAGGGCAGGTGCTGTAGTCTCGGTTCATGTCAGTCATTTTGAGGTTGATACTGGCCTCTACATTAGACATGTCTTTAGTTTCAACGTAGCAGCCTGGGCAGGTGCGACTCTGTTGAATCAAACAGTCCTGTGTGAGCCCAGTTATGTTTGCAGGTTCTATCATGGTGAAATAAATCTGAATGTGGTCTTCCTTGGAAAGGCCCCGGGGCTCAAGCCCTTGACAGTACAGGGAGTGAGGGATATTTTGTGGTTTGGGGACACATCAGTTGGGCGGTCCTCCAAAAGAGACTGTGTTGACAGTGGCCAAGGTAAGTGGTGCTTTAAGGCTAATTTAACGCTGTGGCAGTACAAATTGCCTCTCTTTGTGCTCACTGCAGCAGCTGTGGAGGATGTGTGTAAGGCAGCATCTGCAACATCATAAAGCTCTGTGGGCACATACCACTGTAGACAACTCTTCAAATCACGTAAACCTAGGTAAAGAAAAAAGAAAGTATAAGATTAATGCGAGAATATTTAAAAGGCAACTGAACAATTTGAACTTCTATAATGTGAAAACAATAGTTATTACAAAAGTGGGATGTTACATTAGCAGAAAAAGGTTTTAAGATTAAAGTTTAATTGTTTGTTTGATGAATTGTACATAAAATAATATCAACAGGGGTATCAATGGGTCATGGAAATTCTGAAATATTATGGAATTTTAAAAGGTTTATTCCAGACATTCAAAGTCAGGTTTATATATATATATATATATATATATATATATATATATATATATATATATATATATATATATATATATATATATATATATATATATATATAAAACATTTTTTTTTTTTTGGTCTAAATCAGGGGTGTCCAAATTCGATCCTGGAGGGCTGGTGTTGAAATTATAGCCGGCTTCCTCCTTCTTGACTTGAATTATTTACCTTATACGTCACTTTTTAAAAAAATTTAATTAATTAATTTGTTTACAGTTTTTCTTCTTGGGCTCTTTAGTGAACACCTGAATGTGATTCTGCAAGCTGAATCGGCCAACTAGCTCCAATAAGCCATCACAGACTGTCAGCATGGTGTGTCCCAGCCTTAAGCCATTATTCGAAACAGTTAAGAATTGACTTTTATTTGCTTCCATGGAGATATCGAAGATGCTCATTCTGTCATCTCAACTTAAACATCATTAAACTGAGCCCATCACAAAAATTAACAAGTATACTAGTTGATGTGTTTATTTGGCTTTGTTAGTGCATTTACAGCACTATTTAAAGCAGTAGACCTGCACTGTCTTTCGTATGATCACTGTGTGAATTAAAGGGATTCCGATAGGGAGACCCACTCCAATTCACTGTTGTTTTTGCATTTTTTTTGCACCACTCCACTAAGTGTTTTGTACTGCAACCAAAAACATTTCAACAGATGATTTGTTTGACAGCATCTACTTTCTATGATGCCTGTAAACCACATTTACTAGTTCTAACTCTAGTGAATTGGGTGGTACAGTGGCTCAGTGGTTAGCACTGTCGTCTTACAGCAAGAAGGTCACTGGTTTGAGCCCCAGCTGGGTTAGTTGGCACATCTGTGTGGAGTTTGCAAGTTCTCCCTGCGTTTCCTCCTGGTGTTTCGGTTTCTCCCACAGTCCAAACAGTTATACAGGTGAATTAAATAAGCTAAATTGGCTGTAGTGTGTGTGCGTGCGAGTGTATGGGTGTTTCTCAGTAATGGATTGTGGCTGGATGGGCATTCGCTGCGTAAAACATATGCTGAAAAAGTTGGCAGTTCATTCCACTGTGGCAACCCCTGATAAATAAAGGGACTAAGCTGAAGGAAAAATGAATGAATAAATGAATGAATGAACTCTAGTGACTCTAGTGAATGAGTTATTTCTCATTTTCAAGCTGTTTCCAAGTGGCCTGGAGCATTATGGGGGTGTATTTCATTTGATCTGTTGCTTCTGACAGCAGCAAATAGTTTTCTCTTACATTTGTATAGGGGCCAACAAAATTATTCTCGCCTAAGCATCTGCTAAATGGGTAAATGTTAATGTACATTTTTTTTGTAAATCAGCCACCCTACAAAACAAACATCTGAAATCTGGAACTGCTGTTAATCAGATTTGTGAAATGTATCTTCTAGGATGTTCAATCAGTTGACAACTGACTGGATCACATAAATCCATGAGAAAGTACATGAGAGTATATGGGTTTTACCAGTGTTTTGGCAGGTGTCAATGTTCTTATGCACTTAACCTCTGCCAGGCTTGGAAGACATCAACTGCCTTGTTGAAGCAACAGAACTGGGGTGAACTTGCAAAGGAGAGAAGGGGAAATGTGCCCAAATGGGATTCCTGTTTTCCAAAGGTTCAGCTCTTAGGTGATTTATTATCTGCACATTTGGCCTTGAGCTACACACAACTCTCAATAACTACATTACTGTAAGAGAAGCACAGATGGTGAAATTGAATCATGAATATGATTATACGACAGATTTGCTTTTCAAATATGAAAACCACAGATCTTGGACCTTTTTTGAAAAACAAAACAGGTAATTTCTAGTGAAAATGTCATTTTTATACTAAGAAGATCCACTATAACATTTAATATTGACACAATTTTAATTTTAGGGTTAACAACTATTTTTAACATCTGATTTGATCTGGTAGAATGTCATGTTTGCTCTTATTTTATTCTCTGCTTCACAGATTATTCAGCAGTTAGAGTGCACAGGTTTCATCAGTCCACTGGGACAAAAATCATACTATATGCTACAATAAGCTATTCCAACACTTTAATGAAGCTATTTGAGTGTTTTGTGTGCAAGTAAGCAAGATATATTGAAGGACAGTGTATTGCTTTGTTTAAACGGCTATGATTGCAAACTAATCAATAATCAATACTTCTGAGTGAAAGGATGATCTTTCTATTTGAACAAATATAAAACTTCACAGCCCTCCCCACCACTGCATGACACCTACCACAAGATTATCAGCAATGTCAAAGGCCATCCTATATTTCAGTTTGTTGATGAAATGCCATCTATCATATCCAGGACTCACAACTTACCCAGTGACATATCCTCATTAAAGAGCCCATATTATGGGTTTTTGAAAATGCCCCTCCATGTAGTGTGTAACACAGCTCTAAGTGAAGTGAAGTATCCAGTTAAGGCTTAAATCTGTAAGAGTACAGTGTTTAAAACGGTTGATTCATCTATAAAAGAGTCGACTCATAGTGCTTCAAACGAGTCGCCTTGATACTGAGTCATTAGGTGTTTCGCCATGATGTACGAACGAAACCAAGTTATTCACGTGCACGTGCAAACCCGGGAGATTTCAAACCTGAGGGCCCGCCCTCTGACGCAGTAACGCAGACACACACACACCCACAAACACACGCACACAAACATGCCGTTCGATTGAAGTCACACTGCAGATGGATATTATCGAGCCTCTACCCAAAGATAAAACCTCAGGATTATAACCAAGCAGTTGGAAACTACTGGAAACTTCTGCAAACTACATGCTACAAAGAATACATCATCGGCGTTTGTTAAAGGACTGATCAGTAAAGAGTAACTCACTGATGGACATCAGGATGGGTTTCTTCCTCCATTTCTCAAGTGTAAGTACGTGCGATTAAAGTTGTTGCCTCGTTGACTCTAGCTTGCAAATGTATTTATTTGTGATTTATTACTTGTAACCGCGTGTACTGTATCAGGTTAACTGGCTATATTCTGGCAATGTATATATGGCAATGTGTGTGTGTGTGTGTGTTTGTGTCTGTGAAAAGAGCAGAGTGAGACAAGCTTGGATATCTCCTCGACAGTTTTTGGAGTTTTTGCTCAATAAAATAGTTAATCGTCTGAATTTTCAAGTCCATCGACTGTATTTACATAGACCCACTGGCAGCTAAAATCCACGCCTACACTATCGAGCGTGTGTGAACTGTGATTACTTTTATATTGCTGATTAGCTGTTGTGCATTTTACTCTCTGACTGAAGGCAGTCGACCAATCGCAACAGGCTGTCATTGGTCCAATCAGCGCAGATTAGCTTCGCGCTAAGGAGGGGTTTGGGAACAAATGAATCACAGGACGATTCATACGGGAGTCGCTGGGATAATTAGGTAAAAGTAAATGCAGATTATGAGACCATGAAAATGTTTTTTGACCTTGCATGCATATTAGACTGTTGTTGGAGACCCTTACAACCAAGATATGACCCTATTTCATGTATAATATGGGATCTTTAAATGAAAGTCACACTTCCACACACTTTTCAGAACACAAACTCTACATACTCCTCAATGCTACACATACAAATCCGCATTTGTAGTCCCAGAATTTTATCTTTAATTCAACATATCTCACCATATTATAGAGAGAGAGAGAGAGAGAGAGAGATCCAAGGAAGTATATTTTGTAAATACATTTAAAAAATGTAGTATCTTTTTTCCTCCATGAAAAATTATTATGTTCATTTTTTTTTTGCTTTAAATATTCACCACATGGTATGACCATGTAAATGTAATATGCAGAGGAAATAGTTTTGTGATCCATGCTACTAAAAAAAGGAAATTAGGTGAAAGTAATCCCCCATCACCCCATCAATTTAAGAATATATCCTGATATAAAAAATGCCTAACATTAAAGAATATCCAAACATTAAAGAAAACATCTAATAATTAGAGAATATCTAATTGCAATTTTTTGGACAGTTATTGCGATTTGATTTATAATTACATTTTGTAAAGTCAACCTTCACCTAAATATTGCAGCACGCACTTTTAAAAAAATTAGAAATGCCTTAACTTACAGTTTTTTTTTTTTTTACAATCGTTTTGCCACAAATGTCAGAACTCTGGTGTCAATTTTCAAAAGTCTAGACACAAAATTCACAACCATTGCTAAAAATGTACATTTTTGCAAATCTCTTAACTCATTTTTCAAATGGTTGGATACAATACACACAAGTCAAAGATACTTTGTTCATTATACTAAGATCACCTTTTCAATGTAATACAATTAAACATCAAATTGATCCCATTTCAAAATGAACCTCAAACATTACATTTAAAAAAAAAATGCATATTCGTTTACTTAACATGATGTTGTTATCAACTGATACAAGCGCTCAAAATGATAAATACCTGCTGAATTAATCTTGATGCGTGGAAACTGATGTACAGTATTACATGTTTAGAAGATGAAAGTTTCAGGATAGGTTAAATGACATCAGTTACCACAGAAAATGACCCAACTGGACTACAGTATAAATAGATTTCATCTGTATTCATCCTTATTCCATATTTATGGTTTCTTTGTTTCATGAACCACTTTTACAGACATTGTTTTCATATTTGACATAACTGTACTGTATGTAAGAAAGCACAATCACAGCAGACCAATGTCAGGCCTAGATTCACATTGACAAAAGGTTCTTTCCAAGATTTTTAAGTTATGAAAACACCAC